TATAATTTTAATCCCAGGAGAGAAAATATTTTGGAGAGATGTCCGCGTTTAGCTTGTGAATGGAGCTCTTTTCTCGAAAAGATTGTGGATAGAGAGTCGATTGCAATTTCGATCGGAGTGCGAATAGTGCGATTTGCAACGATGCGTTGTCGCGCGGTGATCGGATGCAAAGTGCAATTGTGACGAATTGGGAAATAATCGCGGGTCGCGCTTGAGTGACGTTGGGGCACCGCGACGACCACCGACGGCGTCATGGCGTGCATCCGAGCGCCGAGATCCGTGCGCGGCTCCGTCGACGACATCAAGGCTGATTCCACGCGTAATGTCGTGCAGGTAATTTCTCCCTTCCGCTTTTTCATCTCGCTCTCGAGAGACGCAAAATTCCGCGACCGCTGCATATTTATGAGTTATCTCCGTTCATAAGTATCGGTTTGCTATTACTGTTACGTCTGTACTGTTATATTTCTTTCATACGTACACAAGTAGCAGAATAAAACGAAAACGGACAGACGGGATAAAAATTGAGTTCATACAAAATAAATGACGCCGCATTGAAGAGAATTGAATGAATGGGATAAAGGTTGAATAAATCAGTTGAATGTGTGAAATATATTCCGTAAAAGAGCGTATCACTTAAATATTTCCATAAGAATATCTGGAATATTTCGATCGATATTACGAGAAATTAATATAAATTTAATTTTCTCCATCTCAAATTTAAGTGTCTCGTGTTTTTAAGAAACATGAATTAGATTATTTTTATGATAATCATTTTTTAATTACTTTAACATCTCGCGCAACATTTATCTTAACAAGTGACTTCGGCGCATGCATTCCGCTCGCGCCACTCAAAGCTTCCTTTATCTCTCTCTCTCTTTGCGTCAAATGCCCCGGGAAAGTCCCGGGATCCCGTGTGGAAAATGGGAAACGATTCGGCGAAACGGCGAAGCCCCGTCGCGGTCGCCGTAATAATGGCGACCCGAAATCATGAAGCGAGCCTTCGCGCGTCCCTTCGCCTCCGCTCGTCTCTTTGCATGCTCAAAAATAGTACGCGATGACTAACTCTCTCCTCTCCTCTACGCGGCTCCTGTCCTTTTTCCCCTCCTTCTCTCTTTCCCGTCTGCACGACGACCACGCTTGTCTCCCCTTGTGCTTTCCGTCGCGCCCGGCACTGCGAGGCGATTGCACGCCTGCCTCTTCGGGGACTCTCGAGGGTCCGCTCGCTCGCACGCTCGCTCGCGCTGAAAAGCCTGGCGCTCCGCCAGCGCGGTAAACGCGTCGGGACAATTCATGCTTCCGCGCGTGATTTATGTCCTCGATGCTCGCTTATAGACGCGGACGAGTAAAAAATTCTCAAAAATAAAATTTTCTCGGGAAAATAGCCGCAATCAAATCAGAAATATTGCTAAATACATGTCATTAAATTTTCCTGGGAAGTAAAAGTTTTCTCGTTGTCACGCATATTTATCGCTTAGATATAAATTGGAAACTGTTGCACACGAATATACACAATATTTCAGGACAAGCGTAAAGAAACTTTGACAAATTGTTGCCGAGATTATTTCGAAATGAACATGTGTCTAACTCTTAATGAAAACTTTGTGCTCGGCGGAATTATTTTTATCTTTGAAATGCCATGAGAAATTATAAGCTCCAAATTTATGAAGATTTCGCGCTTAGAAATTACATCTCCGTAATAAAATATTTAAGCATTTCTTCATTAAACAGCATTGACGAATGATTGCGGCCGAAAATTGCGAAAAATGTTACAATATCGATGGAATTTTGACGCAGCAATTCAAAACACGCGCCCGGCGCATACATAAAATATCAGAAACAATTCCGATTCGATTGCTAATAAATTTGTCCGAGCAATCATTTTGTCGGCCGTTGAAATATCCGACAAATAGATATGGAATATGCGCGATGACAAAGCAGTCATGCACCTGCGACACAATAAAATATCGGATGAAAGAAAAAGAGAAGAGAGAGAGAGAGAGAGAAGACAAACGCGTCGCGGGTCGCGTGTTAATATACGTAAGTGTACGGGCTGCAATCGGCGAGAGATAACACCCGCATGATGTATAGGTCGTCGCGTTTTGATGGAAATGCAAATGGACGCATCGCGCTCATATCGCATTGTTTTGCGCCGAAGGAGAAAACGAAACAGAAAAGGAAAAAAGAGAGAGAGAGAACTTTGCGGTCAGCTGCAGTTGCATCCAATTTCGCCGAGCGCACACGACGGGGGCACCTGTCGCGTATCACGCGAATATGCATTCTCGCGACAATCGAGAGACCGGCGATGCCATCAACGGCGCACTAATTGAAATTCTGCGCGACGATTGAAGATTCGGCGCGTAATTGGAGACGCGATTTATGACGTAAGCAGTGATGCAACAATCGGGATTTATGTTCTAATTAGAGGCGCGATTGAGATTAACGATGCCGTAATTAAGCTCCGCCGCATAATTGGCGATGTAACGGTGAAAAAGTCAGCGTGTAATAGAATATATGTCGCGTTAATAAAGAGAGGAATGACTTGGCAGCGAGGTATTAGCGCTCTTCAGCGGCAATAATAAGATAAATCAAATCGCGGGAATGCGACAGCGATGTGATAGACTTCCGAAGTGCACTTTGCCCGTAAGTGCTTCTTAATGCATTTCCTCTTAATGCACTCCTCTGCGTTTTCCTTAATCCTCTCGTGCGTTTTAATGCTCGGGGCAGCTATGCTCAAAGTGTATAATTTTCTTTTCTTGTGCACAACTTTTTAAAAATATTTTTCATCGGCATTTTTTTCTTCTTTTATACTCGTCAGATTTTGATTTAAGACATTATTCTTTTGTACACTTCTTTTCTAGATTTAAAATTTTATTTTGCACATTTGTATCAAAATTTTTATCGAGATTCGGAATTACAATTGCGTATTAAATTGTTGTTTCGTGAGAAAGCGGAAAGAAGATGGAAAATTTTCATTATTAAAATATTTGAGATAAAAAAAATCAAACACTTGTCGACAAATTCAGCGCAAAGATAATATTTCTGAAGCATACAGGTGCTAAGAATGAAATTCTGCGCAATTCGGCATGCCACGAAAGTCGAATAAGGAAATATCTTACGGGAGATTCTTCGAGGTGGAGAGATTCCTATCGCGGCAATCAGCATTTTCCACTTCAGCTCTTTCACTACCAGTAACGTGAGGTCAACCGGACAATTTGCACAAGTTTGACTGGAACTCGGCGGCAGGGATATTTGTCGCAAGTTTAATTCAAGTATATTTCGAAAGAAACTGTAGAATAAAATTCAGTTTATCTTTATTCTTCGACTGCGAAAAGAGATGTCGAGTTTGTAAGTTTTATCCGTGAAATTATTTGTGGGCGGGGCAAAGTTGTTAAAATTAATTCCAATAAATTTTCAATATAGAGCCGAGCGAAAGGTCATCCTGTAAAATATGCGCTTCCCGGCAATTATTCGTTCGCTTTCGCGAACACAAACATCCATAGAAGTGGAACGAGCAATAAAGAAATAATAATCGGCCGTGTAGCCGTGGTATGAGAAGTAATAATCGATCGATCGACCATTAAAGTCCGCGTCTGTACGATATGTTTGCTCTCTATTCGAGCCATTCGTTATTATTGTCTCCTTCTTTTGTGATTGCTTTTAATTCACCGAGCCACGATCGATCGATCAATGATGAAACGCAGTGCAATTAGGTGCGCGCGTAATTTTTTTCGCAGTGTTCCAACGAATACTTCAAGTAGCATTCAATTTATATATCACGTTCAGTATATATAATATTCAATTAATTTTGTTCTTTATTATTTAAAAGCGTAAAAATTAGGAATAAGAAATAGACGTTTCGAGAAGAGAAAATTTTAGCGTTAAAAAATGTGAGATAAATTTTGAAGTCCAATTTATACACAGAATGTCTAATCGCGTTACTCATTAATAAAGTTGTCTCCCTAAAATTGCTCCGCCGGCGTCTGATGCCCTTTCCGAGCCTCGTCCTTCTCTCCTCAGTCCTCCGTTCGAGAATATTATTGCACAGATTACACGTTCGATACTCGGTTGCGTCCGTAACAAACGGTGAGATTGAAGATTACGGAAAATAACAAGGATATTGAAGAGGATGCACGTTATTCGCTTCCTGCGAATAATAAGGATGCAATAAAGATATCGAGAACAAAGTCGCGCCGATTCCGACTTGAAAGAATGCTGTTAGTGGCGTGCAACAATCTGTGTACCGATACGTAGCGTAAGAAAGAAAGAAAGGGAGGGGAGGGGGAATTCCGCAGACTAAGAGCAACTTTAGAGTAATCATTTGTTTGTTATCTATTACTTGCAATCAGCAGAATCGTGATGATGACGAACTAAGCGACTCTCAATCTGAGTAAATTTTTCTTCATAATTACGACGTCCGTTGGATTATTTTAGTTGATTAAAGGTTTTTATCTTTGTCTGAGAGTATTCTACTCGCTGACGTTGTTGCGTATATATTTTCAAGACTTGTATGTACTTTTAACGTTAATTTGTATCCCAACCGTTGACCGGTCGATCAACCTTTAGAACTTGTGAGCCACTTTCTTTTAGTGTCCATTGCACTCTCCAATATTAGCCATATTACTTGTAAAGAAAACAGGCCAAAGCGCACCGAGCGGATTTCTCGCGGATTTTTCTTCGCGTTAGAGCTGGCGTCTCTGCTGAGCAAGTGGGTTGCTGTAGAAAAAAATCTGTCTGCCGGCAGTCAACAGTTATATTATAATTTTTGCGCGCGTGTCGCGCAAAGTTTTTCTTCTCTTTTTATACCGCGAAGTACTTTATATTCTATACAATGGTACAAATTAAAACTACACGTGTCGCAGTAAGAACACATTTCGCGAAAAACGATAATAAATCAACGAAGATAAATGTACAACTTTTTTTTTAATCACTATACGTTTCTGTATCTATCTATGTATATAATATTCGCTTTAATAATACGAACGATGATTTTGTGATTTCAGATCTACACGGATTGGGCGAATTATTATTTGGAACGTGGGGGGTGCAAGAGAAGAGTGGCCGATCTCCAGGCTGACCTCTCCGACGGTGTTCTCTTGGCTGATCTGGTGGAGGCTGTCAGTAAGTGTCATTGACATTCTTATCTTTCTCTTTAAAAAATGAAACATTTCATTAAAAGAGTTAAAGCTAATTATTTGGACATGTAAACAAGATATATTAAAAAAATTGTTAAAAATATTTGCCCTTGCAAATATTATAATTTAAAATTAATTTTGTCACGGATGTGTGAAACCTCGACATAAAAATTTGATAGTTCTCGATTAGAGTTTTAGCTTTCCTCTCAAGAATTCTAGTTCTCTAATGTTCAAAAAAATTCCAGCAATTAACATTAGCATAGTTGCGTATGAAAAATGGGATGCTACGTAGCGAAATTATTTGGAGAGTCGAATATTTTTGTTTAATTACTGATTTTCTATGTTGTAGCGTTAACTTTACACTCTTTTGTCGCTTAGTTAAATTATTTAAAGTACAAAAATTCAGGACGATTTATATTTAATAAAGTAGTTGGGAGTTTATTATTAAACATTTATGCGCGCAAAGGCGATCAGCGGCACGATGACTGTCGCCAAATAGACCGGCAATTTGTCTAACAGTACTAAATCGTTTATGGCGTTGAACAGTTACCCATAACACATAAATCGACGATAAAGTCATTAGTGCATAGAATACGACAGTCACGTGCCGTACGCGCGTGCCATATGCAATTCGTCGCAGCGGCCGTTGGTCGGCTAAATGAAAGTGGAATACCCTCGAAATTAATCTACGCTCGTCTTTCGTGTTGCAGCCAATCAGAAGGTGATCGACGTAAACCGGAAGCCGAAAAGCGCCCAACAAATGGTGAGTACATTTTGAACTTGTTAGACATCGCATGTTGTCGGACGAAACATGGAGCGATTACTTGAACCTTTAGAGGATCGCAAGGCTTCTTTCGAGCAATCTACATTATGCGCAATTATCAAATATGATAGAAACGATTGGGATTGAAATTTAAAATTGAACTCTAATTATGCGATAAGAATATATTGAATCCATTTCACTACTGCATCACATATGCAAATTAAATCTTCATATTCATACATATATAAAATATGAATCATCAATCATTGCTTCTTCTAGTCGCATGCAAGGGAACGCCGACCGTTCTGTGAAAGATTAAAATTCTAGATTGTAGATAAGAGCTGATCGGGCGCGGCGGAAACTCGGAAGATCGTATTCGTTGCGTGAGACTGTCTCGAGGAAGCAAATTTAAGAACTAGCCGTGCAACCAGCACAATCTTTTAAAAATAGAGAGCTCTGTATAAGCTCGCTACTTAGGATGTGTAGATAAAATCCGTGCAACCGCACGTACGGTGCTCCATAGATCACCGTCCGCATCTCTTTGGAACATTTAGAATAATGCGAGACACAAAACAAACGCGATTAAATCTCGCGGCGCATTCCGACTCCTCGAAAACACTTCTCTACGCCTATTTTCACATTCCTATTATATTTAATTGCTTCTTGCATTACTCCTTTAATTACTCAAAATATTTACGCTTACTACCATTTATTCATTTTATGCTTAATTTATTGTAATTATAAATTTCAATTTTTTAGTTACTTTAACACACTTGTTCTACAATATTATATTTTCCTTGCATTCTTCTTTTGTATTAATTTAATTTAATAATTTAATTCTAAAATATGAAACAATCAAAAAAATTTATGCAGTTTTTTTGGGTTACTTGATATTTTAGAATTCAGTTATTAAATTAAATTAGCATAAAACAAAAGTGTTTCGATATATTATCTAATAACATTACAGAATATATATTACATTATCTTTATTTTTTGTCTTCGCTATTTTATTTACAATAATTTTTGAATTATGCAAAATAGATGATACTCTGAAATATCTTAGCGGCACACATTTCTGAATGATAAATTTTCAACGCCATATGTCTCTATTTCGATTCTGATTTATGGGATATAATTCTTCGCTATAACACGCGTAATAGTCGTGTTTTATGATAGCCTCGTAAGATGAATCCGCGCTTGAGTCTGAGAAGAGCGATTATTTGAATCTCAGATTGGTATTTTAACTGGCATTTTACGGAAACGCCGCGGTGAATCTTCGCTTAGGATCGCGTTTCGCGTAACCTTTCGCACACACGCGCGTTTTATACCGCGCGATTAAACGCGCGGATTTCTTCGCGAACTCTAAGTGCATCGCGGTTAATTATAAAACCTGTTGATTGTAACGTCTCGTTATGTTCTCGCTCATAAATCATGTCGATTGCCTGCTGTTTTCTCTGCTAACTTTGACTTTTTTAAGTTTTTTTTTTTACAAATAATAGTTGAAACCGCTGATTCCGACGGATTGTCTCACAATTAAATTTTAATAGCCTCTAAAGAAGAAATAGTAGTTTACATAATATTATTCTACACAATCTTACGGTCGATCAAAAACGAATAAAAATACCGCCGTAAAATTTTTTTTTCATACTTTAAGATGCAAACATCGACATATTATGTTATTATTATAATTATATATTATAATATTATCCGGGAATCTGAATACATTTGAGTCTCTCGACATATCTGAACATTCTTTTATTCCTCACAAATATATTTTTATATTATCTTTAAACATTGAAGAGATACATTATTTCCTCTTCAGCGCTTGCTAAAATATCAGGGAAACTGACAAAAACATCTGAACTGATAAAGTTTAAAAATGTCCCGGACAATTTTTCTCTCGTAATATTATAAGGACTCTATTCTCGCAGACATCCTCCTTCAATTTGTATCCCTCGGAAAGAGCAACGCGCGTTGACTCAGGATTATGCAAATTGAGCACATGAGGCAGCATCTCATTCGAGAGAGAGAGAGAGAAAGGGAGAGAGAAAGAAAGAGAGAATTGTAACTCGACTGCGTGTCTCGATCCATCCATCCGGATGTGACGTGGCTCGTTTTCCCAGCGAGATGCACTCAGAATCCATAAAACAGGTGTTCCCCTCTTCCCGCCTTTCTTTCCCCTTCGTCCATCGATTCTTTTTTTTCTATTCAAATATAGCCCTCGTGCTCACGGTAAATATTGACGAATTGAAAATTAGAAGCATTGTGCTTTCCGCGTCTCTCTTACGCTTTCAATATAGCGAACTAACCTCAAATAGGATTTTATTCAATAAAATGTACGAATATATCTGGAATCTGTGATAAAATAGAAATTTAGGGTGCAGGCGCTAAGAGGAAGTGGAAGTTGGCTCTGTTCTTAATAATCGCGCGATATTTCGAGTAATTTCGCGTCGCTCTTTAGATTCGATATTTAACTGGGCCAACTTTCGCGCGCAGCTCTTAATAGCCGCGGCACTTAGTTCACTAAGTACTCTTCGTATTACTTCGAAGTGCTTAGTTCGGAATGGCGCTTCGCGTAAGCGCGCAAGGCGACGTAAAGCTCTCCGAATTTTTCCCCGAGTTTTCATTCTTACCCTCGATTGGCTGAGCGGCAGAAACGGCCTCGTAGACGTCGCCTTACCAATTTCGCGGTGTCGAGGGTGGACGCTCGGGAAAGGAGAAGGGCTCCGGTCTATAATTAAAGTAAGCTAAGCACACGCGCCACGCACCACGTGTACAGGCTGATTCACAGTGATAAGTGAAGATAATTTATCGAAGCGAAGAAAACAAACCCGTTGTGCCCTCGAAATTTTTTGTGGCTAAAAATGATTCTCTTGTTTTGTATTAAGTTCTAGCACAAAGTTGAATTTTGATTACCATTTCAGTTGGCAAGTATAAATATTTTTGAATATGCAATTGTTATTAAACATCTCACGTACAACTTTAAAGAATTTAGAACCTTGAAAAATTGGACGTTAAATTTATTTCCCATTTTCTATTTTTATGAAATCTATTTTCTGTTTGTGTTTTCTCAAATTAATTTTTTGGTCTTCGACGGTTCTTGAAACGGTCTGTAGTCGGCACGAATCACGTGTTTTCCTTTCGGAACCCACGCTCAGCACGCGACTTACGACTCGTCGTCGATTTACAACTCGTACGCACTCCTGCGACGCGTACAATAGCGTACAGAATGAAACGTGCGTTCGCTCGTGCTTCGCTATGTGAACCGGAAATGCCCGGATGGTTGCATAAGTCAGTGTGCAACATCATGCACGTCGACGTTCACGGAGATGCGCGGTCCATTCTCTCATTTCCAGCTAATTATATTCATACAAAGTCGCATTAAAACAAGTTGGGAGAAAAATTTGAATTTTCATTGAAAAAAAATTGTGTTTTTTTCAATTATAAAAATTTCAAACGGTTTGATCTTTTATCGCGAGAGAAAGTTTTTTTTCAGAACTTCAAAACTTTTTCAATTAATTCATCTCAATTTTATATTCATAACGGCAAATTCTGGAATCGAGAGTCAATTCTCCTTTCCTGATTGGTTCTCCCGTTCTTTTCCGGTGCGCATTAATTCGATCCCGCGGCAGAATCGAGCGGATACTCGTTTTCGCGCCATCCTTCGATCATCAAGTTGTGTTGATGATTAAAGGAGGGTCGACTCTCTAAATTCGAGCTCAAACCGGAACTGGCGCGGCGTCTCTGGCCAGCGTCGGTCCATCGCGATCTATTTCTATTTCGCGGACAGTCCACTCTCTAGAAAGACAGAGCGAGGATGAGTCATTTCGTATATATTAGTCAAGCATCGCGCCGGTCCCTCTAACAAGTCTACGGTGATAATTTATAAATAATACGGGGTGTTCCGGATTTTACTCGTTGGATAATTTCAAGCAGACTTTGCTTTCGCGGAAAATTAATTGAGGACACTTCAGAAAATTAATTTTATCGCGAAGTAGCTTCGCAGAAATTAATTTTCTTAATTGAGCATTCTTAATTTAGATATTTTGTAGTTATTTGTGCAAGATTTGATTTTTTTTTAGATACACATGCGGCATGTTGAATAATAAATGAAAACATTATAGAGTCTAAAGTTATCGCGTGATCACCGTTCGAGTTTAAAGCACGACGTGAAATCGTGACGCAATTTGTCTGTAAACGAGATAACGCCGACGAATTGAAGGCTGATATTGCGTTGAGATAGCGCGACCCGACAAACGAGTGCTCGAAAAATCGATTATACTCGTTTGTTTACACGCGATTAGGGGAACGCAAGCAGGTGTCGGAGGGGGAAAGTGTATGTGCGGGCTGCTGATGACAGAACGATGTACGTCGCAGGTGTCCCAGATATGAGTGAGCACATATGTACACTGAGTGGAAAGAGGGGGGAGCGAGGAGAAAATGGAAAACGTAGGCGCGGTTTCCCGGTAAGATCGCTTTGTGAGAAAAAAAGAAAGGAACGTTCTAGGCCGTGGTTCCTCTTTGAACTGAAAACCCGTCGCTAAAACGCGACACAGAATGTCCCTCGGAAACTCTATGCGCTTAAATAACGAGATATTGAAGGAAAATTTTCTACCATTCGGATTTTCACTTTGTTCTGAATTCACAAAATCTGAATTTATTCTGATAAAATTAAATTTACTCTGTATTAATTAAAATTAATTTAACTTAATTTACATTAATCTTTCCTCATAGAACTCGTTCCGAATTCTTCGAAGGAATTCACCGTGTTCTCATTCTTTCTCGGAATAAACACGAGCATTCTAACTCCAGATTAGTCATCGAGTGTCTGGTCGCAGCTTGATTTTCCCACATAAGAATTCTTGCGCAAAAAGCGCGACCGGTCACGCAGTCTATCGCGTTACTCGATTAATATTCATGCGTAATTGCCGCGTTTATTAATCGCGGCCTTTATATTCAGCGGAAAACCAGTAACGGTTCAGTGGAAGAAAAATGCGGAGGAGAGAGAAGCAGATAACACACCCACGCGATGTGCAATTTCTGATCCGAGTACATATTTCCTTGATTAATGTCCGGTCGCGTAGAATTGCTCCTTGCAATCATCCGGCACGTCTTTATCGACCCTCCGGAGAACGTGATGTCGCGAACGGCTCGGAATGCAATTTTCCTCTGACACAGAGCGGTGCATTCTTCGTCTTCCCGACGACTCATGCTTGATCCTATTTCAACATTGGAACGATTTATTTTTCCGCAATTATTTGGAAAAGAAATTTGTGAATTGACGAGAATTCGGCTACATTAAATAATGAAAACTAGATAAATTGAATATTTATGTAGAATTA